AAGTCTTGGCTGGTTCAGTGTCGTGATGCTGAGGCATCAGTGTCCTTCGGGGACTTGTGTTTGTTCCATCTGACTCCAAACTCAGCAGAATCGAGAGATGTTCTTCATGTTTGTGGCGCTTTTGTGCAGAATTGTGGTTGCTTGAAGCGTAACGAGATCAGCAGGTCGTCCTGATAGTTCCGAGGTTTTTGTATAGCACAAACCTGTTGCACAGATACCCTCCCCTGGTATTTTCTGTTTGGACTAAAAAATCACAAAAATAGCCTCAGCGAACTGAGTGTTCCTGACATTAGCAACAGGCTTGGACAGGAGCCACTGAAATGGAACTACACAAGGTTCTTTGGCGAAGTTTTGCGGCGCAGTGGCATGAATAGCAGTTAGCAGCCATCGAAGCTCACACCCTTCATCCTTTACATTCAACGTCCCAAGTACTTGCGCGTTATTTTCATTCCTGCCTTGGTACAGCCTTGCGTTTTGTTGAGGGGGCAGTTGAATTTTGATGCTTGTGGCAGAGCAATGCGAAGCATGAAGAGATCAGAAGATTGTCCTGACAGTTCTTAGGCTTTTGTGGATAGCACAAACCTGCTGCGCAGATACCCTCCCCTCATGTTTTCGGTTTAAATTGCATATCATGAAGGTAGTCAGCAAACTGAGTGTTCCTGACACTAGCAGTGGCCATAGACGCACGCGCAAAAGAATCCTGGTCTCTGGTTCTAGTCGTAGCAAGAGCCACAGAAATGGCTCTGTGAATAGCAGATAGCAGCCATCCAAGCTCGTACTCTTCGTCCTTTACATTCAATTCTTGACCGCGCATTTTTGACATCCTATCCTCGAACTTTGAAGCACGGGTGCCCCGTTGAACATGTTTGCTTTTGCGAGCATTCCCAGATGCACTTGGCACCTTGCTGAGACCATTGTCAATGTTCGGATATTCACGTTTATATTTACCAGTGTCGCACGTTCTTTCCGGTTTGTGGAAGAATGTGAAGCCATTTCATGAGACGCATCTAAGTCGTTGCTGGTTCAATGTCGTGATACTGACGCATCAGTGCCCTTCGCAGACTTGCGCTTGTTCCGTCTGACTCCACAGTCAAGAGAATCAAAAGATGATTTTCATGCTTGTGTAGCCTTTGCTCAGCATTGTGTTTTGTGGAGGGGTCAGTTGAACTTTGATACTTGTGGCAGAGCAACGCGAAGCGTGAAGAGATCAGAAGATTGTCCTGACAGTTCTTAGGTTTTTGTGAATAGCAAAAACCTGTTGCACAGATACCCTCCCCTGGTGCTTTCCGTTTGGACTGCAAATCACGAAGGTAGTCAGCAAACTGAGTGTTCCTGACACTAGCAGTGGCCATAGACGCATGCGCAAAAGAAACCTGGCCTTTGGTTCTAGTCGTAGCAGGAGCCACAGAAATGGCCCTGTGAATAGCAGATAGCAGCCATCCAAGCTCGTACTCTTTGTCCGATTCGTCCTTTACATTCAACGTCCAATTCAATTGCGCCTTATGATTTGTTATTTTTGACCCCCCCGTTTTTGACATCCTATCCTCGAATTTTGAAGCACGGGTGCCCTGTTGAACATGTTTGCTTTTGTGAGCATTCCCAGATGCACTTGGCACCTGCAGAGACCATTGTCAACGCAAGGAGAAATGTTCCCGTGCACGAGAACAAGCAGATAGGAGTTTGGCTGGGGAGACTCATAGTGGAAATCTCCCCCGGTCTGCTTACAGAGGATCCCGGTGGGGATGTTCAGAATCTTATTACTACCCCACGCTTGCGATGAGAGTAGCGAGGGGCTCGGTTATCTTGTTTAAAGATGTTGACTCTTTACTGAGAAAGTGCAATTGCTGCAAACCCTTGAACCCTCAAACGCTGAACTGAACAAAGGTAGTAAAGGAGCGGAGTTGAGGAGAATCAACACACAATCGTTACAGGACACCGCTTCAGTGCCACACAAGTGCAAGACACTTGTTCAGTGCCATAGAAAGAATCAAAAGCGAAACCAGCAACATCCCCACTTGTCCTAAGCAGCGGTGTTGCTGGCGCTTTCCCAGTGCGGGCCTACAAGCATATGCATTCGGACCATGAGAGATGGCAGTAAAGTTTCTTGCAATTTCCCTGGCAAGCAATTGATTATTTTATAGAGAACGTTGTTGATCGCCCCGGCTGTGCTTGCTTTCGGGAGGTGTCGTCGGTTTGGCTGGCTTGTAGGTTGATGTTTGCTGAATCTTTTCAGTGAACAAAGAAATGTCCAGTTGATATGAGCATACATTGTCATCGATCAAAGTCAGACTGTTCCGTTTGTGTGAAAGACATAGCTGAAACGTTTGGCATGCTCCTGGCATATGATTATGATTGAAAAACGACTGTGCTTGATAGCGCTGGGCGACGGGCATCGGATCGTGGTTGAGCATTGTAACTCCATTTGCGCATGTCCAAAGCATTCACAGTTGTGCGACATTGTTCGACCAAATTTCATGCAATCTGGCCGCCAGCTGACTTCTCCATGTCGGGTTTACCAGTTGAACGATTTCCTTGAGCGTTTCTCAACAGCGGCAAACGGCCATGGATGAATATGTCGGGAGAAATGCCATTTGAGGCTGTGAGTGAGGCAAGGCCGCTAGACTCTGCTGGATTGCCATGGGCAAAGTGTCTATTCTTGTCGATCGTTTTAGCCCAAGGCTAATTATTGCTAATTATATGGCCAGTTTCAAAGAGCTTCGGCTAGACACCATCACCGGTGGCACAGAGTGTGTCCAACCCTTTTCTGCCTTTCGAATTCAATTATTGTTGCAGCAAAGACCACACTGGCCGGGCCTGTAAGTCTTGGATGCTGAGATCTTTCTCATTGAGCAAAGGAACAGGCCCAAAGCATTGTTCCGAATATCAACCCAAACTCAAGCACGTGGCCCTACGGCCCTACAACCGTCATTTGGAGCTGTTCAATTTGCTTAAGAAAGGGCTTGTGGAAAACTTTCGCCAAATCGCAGAAGCTGAAGCTCCTTAAGGCGGAGCCTAGACTGAGTGCAAGCTGCCGCATTGGAGGGCGGCATTTTTTACAAATAGAACGAAACTGTTGTGTGATTCGCCTGGCTGGGTGGATCAAATTGGGTGGTGACATTTGCTGAATGGGGCTTGGCATCTGAGTTGCAAATCACCACAGGAATCCCAGCAGGCCCGGTCCCGCAGTTGAGAAGGTGCGGATTGGTCCACAAGTGCAATATGCTCCGGACAATGAACGCCGACAAGTTTGAGCGAAGTGAAAAGAGCCGTGAAATATCCTGGAAGTAACGGCTCACATTGCTTGCCACTTGAGCAGCAGTCAAAACTTCCCAAGTAATGATTTCAAGAGAGGTTAATGCCTTCGCAAAAACTAAACATGCAGTCGCGACAGATTCGCAAATCCTTCATGCGCGAAAGCTTGCCAGGGGTGTGAGCCTACTGTGGCTTTGGGGAGTTTGGTATTGACCCCACAGCCATGAGGGAATGAAAGAATTTTCGTGTGAATTGGGTCTTCAAAATGAATCAGGTCCTCAAATGACCTGCCAGTGTTATGCTGGAAAGGTATCACAAACTTGGTGTTGATGAGCATGCCGTGGGCGTTGGCGTGCTGTGGCTCAACTGGAAAAATATTGTGAACTCAATGGAGTCAACTTCCTTAACATATGCTCGGCCCCCTTAAGCCCAGGTGAATGTTGCTTGTGTCATGTAAGGAACCCCAACTCAAGCTTTAGAAACGCTGGGTGTTGGATGACCATTTTGCACAACAGGCGTCAGTGTTTGTTTCTGTGGTAAAATCACAACAGGGTTGTTGATGTTTTCAGAAGGCAAAAAATGGGCTCCGGGTTTGCGCGGCTGTGAAAGAGAGGGTGGACAGAGCCTGGCCGGCAGCCTTTTGGCTGTCGCGACACATGCCCAATGCATTGAAGCCATGCCTGTCGCGAGGGCTGTGGATACACTCAGCGCGCCAGGTCCTTTATTCACCAGTCTGTTTCAAATACGTTCTTAGAGACCATTCCTGCTGTGATACAACCCAGGTCAGAGGATGACCTGGAAGTCGCTGAGCACCACAAAAGACCAGCAGCAAAAAAACTGGCCATGAAGGCGAATGCCTTGTTCTAGACACGTTCTTTCCCGGCAGCAATTTTCTTCAGACATTTTTTTAATTTGGACGCTGGTTCCAAGGCCAATGTCAGGGTTTCCCAGCGGACGCCCAAAGCAAAGGCTGGCCTCAAGAAACGAAGTTGTTTGAGTATGAAAACCAAGACCAAGCTGCAGAAACTACGCCTACTTGGACACCATGGGTTTCTGCCCAGCAAGATCTCTCTCCAAGTTGCGAAGGGTTTGCCACACTGTGGCCTTGTGAGCAAGGGTGCGCAGACCGTGGTTCCTTACAAAGTTGTTTTTGCTCAAGCCAATCCTTTATCTTGGAAGTGTGTTCGGGCCCCTATTGGATTTGGTCAAGTCGAAAGGATGTGTCATGTCTCGTTTCAGAGGGCAGTTTGAATGCTGTTGGTGTTTGGTTTGTGTTTTGGGTCAGTGCAGGCTCCACTTGGCCGCCTAGGTCCAGCGCAATCGCAAAGGGGTCATCAAGAAGGACTTGAAGGCCAAACTGTTCACAGGCACCAAGGTGTTCAAGACTTGGGCATCCATCAGTCAAGGGCTTATGTTTCTGAATGTGCACTTACCTTACCTCCTGTATCACATACAACCCTTCGGTTTTTTTTGTAGCGTTGCTTTTGAGGGCGCTTTTCCGCGACTACTTCAGCGGCGAAATCTTCCGTTTCAGAACGTGGAATCACTGCCTTATCCTTGGCCATGTGCACCACCAAGTTAGATGTTTTTCTGAATTGCGTTGAGGATCAAGCCAACCGCATCAAGTACGGCACGCAATACCAGCAGGCGTGTCATATGGCAGGCGTGTGTCTTGGCCGACACTTGACACCAGCTACCGCTGAATGGTTCTCAGGCTGGGGAATGGGGAAGTTTTGGGCATGGATGTTGAAAAGCGTTTAGATTAGGAGACCACTGGATTCTGTTGCAGGGTTGCCATCTGGTTGGACGAGCAGCGCAGTGGGAGCAGTCAATGTTCTTGACTTCCGCCGTCAATTTCCATATGCAGCGACAACTGTGGCTTCCTCAGAGCACATGCGTTCCTATAAAGTTTAATTGTTTAAGTTCAAGAATTTGCTGAGGAAGGAAAGCTCCCAATTGTGAGCTTATTTTCTGGGATTTGCGGACTGGAGCTAGGGGTTTCGCGGCCGAGGCCTCAAAGTTTGAGAGCAGCAGGGTTTGTCGAGATGTGGCCAGTTAGAAAGATGAAGTGAGAGTACTATCGTGGCCTGAGTGCTTTCTGATGTATCCACTGCCGTCAGCTCCCAAAAAGAGCTACTCGGATCAAGCCTTGGCAGCAACTCAGACAGCCCATCACTGGGAAATGCCTCGTGCCCATAGCCTCGACTCTAGCCTGGGGTCAGTGCGCTGTGTGGGGATCAACCAAATCAGGCCCGTCACGTGTGATTTCACGCGCTTTCATAACGTGGAGTATTATCTTATTTTCTGGATTCTTGGATGTGTCTCACGCCTTGCAGGGTCAAGAAGGGGACTACAATTGTCAGCAATTGGGGTGGGTCGCAGTGGTGTGCTCAGTGGTTGCGACGAACAGATTCGGGTTCGTTGGCTTTCTGGCCGTTGTTGCAAGGGAGGAAAGAAGGCTTCAAGCTAGGTTATTGAATACTTTCAAGGCGTTCCCCTAAATTCTATAGAATGTGTGTGTTTTTTCTTTGCGTGGTCGAGGTGGTCATGCTGTTGGTCGTCAAAGTCATGGACGCCATATGTACCTGTGGAGGTCGATGGCCCAGCTGTTTTGAAGTGAGGGCTGTTGCAAGTTTCACGTGTCACACCGTGCATCATGGATTTTATAAGTTGCCGTTCCAAGGAAGATGCTGCACCTCCGGCGACTGGGACGTGGACCCCGCACCATGATATGGAATGTCGTAGGCTCATGCGCATCGCGCGTGCAACAGGTGTCCTTGACCGCCTGTATTGGGAAACCGTAAATGATTTTGATCCATGGAATTGAAGACCAGTGTGACCTGTGGTGTCTACCTTTCTACCATAAGAACAGCTGGTATAGAGGCCGCGCAGACCCTATTTAAGATGATGCGCAATGTTTGAAAGACTTTTCGCTTGACCTGCAGGATCACAAAAAGTGTTGACCACTGCTGTCAGTTGTTTTCTTGTCGAGTGGCAGGTTTCAGCAGCAGAATCATTGCCCTCGTTCCCTCTTTTGAAACCATGGTTTCTGAGGTGGATGTACGCCACCGACCTGGTCGATGACCTAGTTTGTCACTTTTCATGTTCGACGGCGGAGAAAGTCGAATTACTAATTGTATCTAGTAGATCTTCTTCACTCCAGGTGGAATGTGACCAGGATTGCACGACTGTCCTGAGACAGCGGATGGCGGAGGGCCTTTTGCACAAGGCTGTCATCCATCCAGATGTCTGTAAATTCTCAGCCAAAGAGACAGGGGCTTGCGGGGTGACCGCTGGCTTTCCATGCCAGGCCTGCGTTGTCGTGTTGTCATTTGAGTCGATTGCGCGACGCTTCATTTGAGTCATTTGAGTCCTCCCCGTTTCAATTTGCGCGTGTATACGTTGCCGTGATTTAAACTCAATTTGCCAGGGTGTGAGCTCAGCAGGGCTTCAGAATGGGCTTGGTGACGAACGCACCAAGCTCATAGAGGAGGTTTGGAGGGTGTTTGACACCTTACCTCGCCAGTCCGGTGCCAAGTTCACGGCCAATTCCATTTGCTTCACAAGGTTTCTTTCACGCGTGGGACCCAGGCTGTTCTTGCTTCTTGAAAATGTTGGCGCTCTTCTGAGCAAAGAAAAGCAGTGCCGGGCACTGTTGCATTACATCTTGAAGGACGCCGTGATTCCATGTTCCAAGACAGATTCAGTATATACGCATGTACAGCGACAAGATAATTCAGCAGTGGGCCCGGATGAACCCAAAAGGCTGCCAAGCGGAGTTTGGATGTTCATTGGGCCACAACGAGACTGACGAACGTTGGTCTTCCAGATCGGGCCCCAGTATACGTAGTGATTAGCGCTTGTGTTGACACATGTCCTTGTCAGGCGTCTCGGGCAAGAGTTTTTCTGCTGTTGGCTGCGCGCGGAGAGTCGCTCTGGGAGGACGTCGGGCTTAGATTGACTTGTCGTTTGGAGCCGTAGTTGTTGTGGCTGCAATCAAAAACCATTCATTTTTGTTGACGTAGTTTTTGACCTTCACCAACTTGTGACGCCCATTCTGAACGGATGGTGCGCTGAATTGGCAGGACTACATCTGTCCAGAGGTGGAGACTCACTGCCGGGCATGGAATCCAATTGCTCAGCAGCCAATGTACAAGTGGCTATCGCAAGAGCAATCCAAGAAGGACAAAGTGCGTTTGAACATGTGTGGAAACATGGTGGTCCCTTGCCAGGCCACGTTGGCCTTCGAGTCTCTGCTCACAATGAGAAGGGCTGCGCAACATTTGTGATGGCTGTTGCAACCCCTTAAAGTATTTTAGCTGTTCTTGTACTGCAACCTTGCAAGTTTCGTTTGTGTGGCGGCCCTGACCTTGATTTTGTCATCGTTGCTGGCCATAGAGCCAGACGGCCACGACTATAGAGGTGGTGCCAATTCAGCAGCAATTCACAGAAATCTGACAAGCCTTGTAGCTATGCAAAAGGCTTTCGCAATCAGACTGATGGCGTTTGCTTCATTTGGACTTGTTTGCGTGGAATTTAAGCTTGTCACCGTGAGTTGCAGTTTGTGGGCTCTATTAGTATTGCCTGAGAACCTTGGCGCTCCCAGTTCAATGTCTGCAGGAGGAGTGGCTGTGTCCAAGTTTAGAGCGCTGACTGCCACCTGTTTTTCCACGACTTCCGCAGTTGTATTGTGCTCCGCTGCGTTCGTCAGGAGAGTCCAACACAGAGAACGACTTCTATGTGCTTTCTGGCAAAGCGCTCGAGGCGGGGCTTATACTTCCTACCAAAAAACAAAACACAACGCCCAACACTTTGGTTTCAAGGAATAATACAATACATGTAGAAGAATTTGTTGTTTCTTCAATGGGTCGAACTGCAGGAAGCTTCGGCGCAGGGCTTTTTGAACGGAGAAGACACCGTGATAATTGGGTTCTACCACTACGAGGAAGGCGGCTTTTAAGACACAAAGAACATGTTTCAAGTTCACATGCACGCGCAAGCGCAAACACGTGCGCGTACGCCACACTAACTTTGCTATGGTATGCTTGTGGTGAAGAAGACGTGTAGTAGCTATGAACGCATCACTGTGTGGTGCCACTTTGCAGGTGACCTGGCCACTTTTTTTCCTTCAGCCAAATCCGAACATGGTGCGCCGCCACAGCGATGCCTTCTCCTAGCCGGCCCACATTCTGAGGGTGCATCATTCCGGGTTGCGACGCTAGCTGAATCATATCATGAGTTTTTGTGCTCTCGTGAGCCGTTAAAAAGCTACGATGGTAGTACCAAGACTCATGGACTCGTTGCAGCCAATGGGAGGCATGATAAAACTAGCAAGGCCCCTGTGTTAAATCACGAGAAAACATGATTTTTGTTTCCATTGTTGTGCAGTTTGCTGGTCTAGCGCTGGTTCTTTTTGCTGCCTGTGCGGTGTGTAAGGATGCTTTTTCGCAATGCTTCTGCTTGGCCTGAAGTGACAAAAGCTGAATCTTTCCCTCGCCATCGTGAGCCTGTTGTCTTTGAATGCCGTCCGTTTTCTACAGCTGGTGAGGCCGTGGTGTTGATCCCTGATACTTCACTAGGACTTGACGCGCCACCACAAGCGCATGCTGATTTGACACGGGAGTTGAATGTGGCTGTGGTGAAGCTGCCTGTCCTGAAGTACGTGTCCTTCCTGCGTGGCATGAAGCGCATGGACCGAGGTGGCTTTAGCAAGTTAGTGACCGGCGTGTTTGCGCTAGCTGTTAGTTGTGGCCCACGCAGTTGATTGAAATAAACATTAGGGGCTTTCCTTGTTCAAACCAAGTAGGACGAAGCAACCACAAAGATGATCACCTTAGACGCGACAATGTCCTGAGGTTATTCTTCAACAAGCGTCACAGAGGATTCTGCCAGCGTTCTCAGCAGGATCGTCCGCTGATTGGACTGCTTCTGATCCCGTGTACAGATTCTTTTCAGAGTCAGTGGCGTGCATTTTAGATTGTTGTGGCAGTGGTGGACGGCTGACTTACTGCAGGCGTTATAATGCGCGCTTGAAGCTGTTCACTGTAGTCTGACGGAGGTTAGAGTTGGTTCATCAGCACACTAGCATTTCGAGCTGTTTTTGCTTATGAAGTGGCCCACCAATGTTTGCCAAAGCTACAGAGCCATCGATTTTGTTTAGCAGTTTGTCCCATGGAGTACGAAGTACACATCTTTTGACGCCAACGTCCAGGGAATATACACTCAGATAATTAATATATATGTATATATATAAAGTGTATTTAAAGGGCCATTTCAGGCTGTTTCAATCAAACGGTTCCGTTTGCAAGTGCAGCGCTGGGTGGTAGTCAGCCCACATGCCCAAAGCCTTTTCTGTGGAACGCCTATCAAGTGAGTCCAGTGATTCTGACGCTGGCCAGCAAGAGGGCCAGCAAAGCGCTCCTGCTGCAAAGCGTCGTCGTGTTCAAGACAAGACAGACATAGACAAGGCATCTGAGGCATATTTGCGATCGCTGATTGGAAAGCAATGCCCTTGCAAGAAGCGAGAGTGCTTGCTTCAATTTGCAGAGCCCTCCAAATTTGCTGCGCTAGCTGAGTATCGCTCACATTGGCTTGATCTAGAGAAGTTAGACCAAGACACCTTCGCAGCTTGTCAGAACATTTGTTTTGTAGTGTGCGCAGCCACCTCTCATTTTTTGGGGGATTGGGGGAACGTTTGACTTTCCTTCTTCCCAGGCATTGGACCGAATGAAGACCATGATCCAGGCCTGTGAAGGTGATGGTAATGGGTTGATGAAGTGGTCCATTGAAGGTGTGCAGACTTGTCGAAGGGCATGGAAAGCTTTACACAACATGGGTAGCTGAGCTGGATGACAGAATTGAATGGCAACGATTGTGCGTGAGGGTCGCCTTTTTCCATCTGGTAGGTGCACACAGGCTGATTGCCCAAAACGACGCAGCCTAGGCACTGGACGACGCCAGAGAATTTTCCAGGCAGCGCAGAAACGGGCAGTGTCTGCGCCAGTGGACCTTCGGTATGTGAAGAGGCCATATTCGGACAAGAAGGGGAAGTCAGAAGATTGTGTCCGTGGAGATGTTGTTTCATTCCTGGGTTCTCTTTGGGCATCTGTAGCGGAGACGCTCCCTGATGTTCGTGACGATACGTTTGACGATGTGGATCCGGAGGCTCTTCCCAAACTGACTGATTCATATTCTATTGAACTGAATGTCCAGGTCTCGTTGCCTGCCAACCCTTCCACCCAAGAGAAAGTGAAAAAACCTCGTAAGGTTCGGAAAGGGGTGCTTCTGAACCCAGACAGGGCACCAGGTTCTTCTGGTGAGGAGGTCCGCAAATTACCGCCTGGATCAATGAAAGAATATTACGAGCAATACAAATTGTCTTCCAACCTCGGGTCGCCTGCTTCATTCCCAACATTTTGGCGGGCGGCTTGGAGCCTGGTTTCAACAGTTTTTGTTTTTAAAAATTTCGCGATGACAGCAATTCTATTTTTTTGTGATAGACAGAATCTGAAGTAGCAATTTTTAACTTCTGCTGTCGATCTGCCACGGTTTGGGTCTTCTCATGATGAAGCTCAGGCTGAACGCTGTGGTTTTCACACGTGTTTCCATTTGCACTCCACTTCTTAAGATCCGTGAAGGTCACCGTTTTGGAAGCTTGGGTCCGCGCGCGCGCGCGCGCCCTTTTGGGCTCTAAAAACGGCCGTCGGAGGCGCGCGCGCGCGGACCCAAATCCACTTTATTAAAAAACGGCGACCTCACGGAATCTTATAACTCCACTTGAACTTGGCCACGCGAATAAAGCCAATGCTAAACTCCCCCTTGGATTGGGCTATGAAATCTGGCCCCCTCAAGCCTTGCATCAACTGCTATTATTATTATGCCTAACTTTGGAGGGGCCATACCGGACATATCGAGGGTCATAGCCCAAGTCCAACTGTGTTTTATGCATACATTGGACCCAGTCAACCACTTCTTGATCCTAGGTTCGTATCCTAGAAGAACCCGATTTGGGTCCAGGGCCAGTCACCACTTAGGTGTGGATCAGTGATTTTCCACACCTTCAGTTTCGTGACAGATCAAATCATGCTGAATGCAACGTTTGTCTACGACATCGGGCCATGATCCGGGCCCTTGGTGCACACATCAAGGCCAGAAAAGAACAGCTCCGGCTGTTTCATTCCCACTTACGAAGCCAGTACATGGACCGCGTGTGGTATTGGGAAACACGCGGCCTCTCTAGGCAGCGAGGGCCATTGGTCACACTCATTTGCGATGGAATGGATCAAGCAAAGTTTGAATTGCCACGACATGGCATGATGAAGAGCAAGGACTTTAGCACCATGCAAAGGGTGAAAGTCCACGTCGCCGCGTGCATTGCGCACGGAAGATTCGTTCTTTTTGTTGTGTCCTCACCGGACACAAAAAAAGATTCGAATGCTTCCATAGAAATGTTGAGCTACGCCCTCACTCTTTTGGCCAGACAGGGGCTCCACCTCCCTTCTACAGACATCGTGCTGCAGCACGATAACACGTCGCGAGAATTTAAAAACAATGGGGCATTGCGATGGGCCTGCTCCCAGGTCTCTTTGATATGATTGAAGTAACGCTCAAAATGTGTTGCTCTTTCAAGTTCTGTCCACAAACGTAGGTTGTTTCTGTTCACGCCTTTTGGGAAATGGCTGCGTCACCGAGCCCTGGAAGGTGAGCTCTCGGAACATCCGCTCCTTTGTGGTCCAGTACCTGAGGAGTGGACACACACACGAGGACATAGACCAAACATTCGGAGCCCTATCGAAACATCTCCTTAGAGTTCGGGACCTTCAATCACCTTCAGACGTGGTCAACACCATCAAAGACTTTTTGCAGAAGGCGAAAATGGCATGGGAGACCGAGAGACATGTAGTGATGATGGATTCCATCAGGGATTGGAGTTTTGCCATGAGTTGGACACGGATATTTGTTTTGGCAAGCGATCCCATATTCCCTTAACTTGTTAAGGTCATCAGTTTTGCCAATCGTGGGGAATTTGGTTACGCAGGGGTAAGCTTCCACGTTATTATTGCCTGTGAGCAAAACGGGCGCCCAGGAACGGCTTTCTCACAGAACCTGTGCCCTTCAAGCTGGTCGGAATCGGAGGGCCTGGGGCGCCCCATTACTTTAAGCTGCAGCGCCGTGTGGATGCAGGCTCACCGTAGCTTGATTCTGCGCGGCCCTGGTATGTGCTCGCTAGATTTCAGCCAGGATTGCAAAGCTACGAGATCCAGAACAAGTTGTGGCATTACCCAGAGCACCCTGACGATGTAATTCTCAGGACGTTTGATCTGCGTGACAGATTGAACATGATTGAACCCTTTTTGTATAATATATAGTGGCTTGTGTTTGTTGTCAAATGGTTTTTCAGGACAAAACAGTGGATGGCCAGCCCAGAGTTCACTTTCACCAGTTTACTGTACCCTCGCCACCTTGCCTTCGAGCGTCTTCGCCTTGGTGTGCCTGCAGGCAGGCTGCTGTTTTGGTTGATAACGAGTCCCTGACCCAATCACACTTGACGTGCAAAAAGGTGGGTGTTCATTATGCCTGACTAGACTGAAAAGGTCTGGCTGAGAAACGCGTCATTGACCCGGAGCACAAGAAGCACTTGACTCGCTTCTTGCCCGCCTTGCGAGTGCCTTTGTTTGGGTTGGGCAAGTTCGCTGATTGGCTTGAAGCCTGGCTGGACGGAAGCCTGGAGCAATGTGATCTCTTGGATGTCACCGCGTGCCTGTGCATTCCGTATGGCTGAAGATAGTGTAGTTCTAATTTGTTTTTAAATCTAGAATGTGCTTCCAGTGTGCAGCGATGTGTTGTCAGGTGCGTCATCAAGACTGGGCAAAGCCAGCATTTGTTTGCGGTTCCGTCTCCTGCGCCAGACCCGTTTACTATCAGCCCGAATGCCCTTCAGTGCCCCAGCTTTGACTCAACGCCTGTAAAGTGTCAAGCGTATTCATTTGCGCTAATGTACTTGCATTTGAAGCTGTTTTACATGGACCTTTCAATACCATCTTGAACCTTCCCTGCTACAGGATCGTGGGCGTGACCAGCAAGGATCGGCGCGTTGTGGCTTCATACGTGAGCCGCACACGAAAAAGGATCATTTATGCAACAGCAGCACAGGCTTGGTCAATGGGTGTGCCATGGGATGAGGCGTTTGCCATTGCCACAAAGGCTGTCAAGTCGAAGACTGCAGCACCGAAGCCTCTCCGAAAAGGCAAGAAATGAATCAACCTTTGGTGGGATCGGGGGGTGGGGGCAGCCGATTTCATTCTCTCAAAATTCTTGAAAAGGTTGATGAATTTGGACGTTTTATTGCCTTGATATCTTATTGTTGTCGGGGTCCTAAACCCTTTTCGTTGTTTGTGTAGATTTTTTGGGAGCGGCAGCGTAACTTAGGGGTCTTGATGAAGCGGGGTTGGCGACGGAATGGGTCACTCCAAGGATGTTGCCAGGATGCTACTGTAAGTGACCGATCTGAGGTGGCATTGGTCACTTACGGACCAGGTTGACAAACGGCCATGATGTTTTGGTTTTCCTCCCCAAGGAAGATTCACAAAAGGGTATGCCAAGTGACCGATCAGACCTGGAATCGGTCACTTGCAAGGGGGGCCACCTACCACTGCCTGAGTGACGGATTCCACTTCCAGCACTGTGAGTCTGAGTGACGGTTTTTGTCAACGTCTGAGTGACGGATTTTCCATCTATTTCTTGAATGACTTTTTGGTGGAGGGTGCTGTGAGTGACTGATTCTAGGTATGATCCGTCACTTGAGGTGACAACAAATCCGTCACTTGTGTTGGGAAACAATCCGTCACTTGGTTGGAACATGAATCCGTCACTTGGGATGTCTTTGAGACCTGGTGTCAGCCACTGCAAAGCGTTGTTGCACGTTGAAGCCAGGGGCCACATGTCGTTGGCAAATCGTGACGGCTGTGATGCAGTTTTAGTCTTTCAAACTGGTTGCCTGCTTTTCAGGGATTTTGCTCAAGGCCGGCTTTCTAGCAGCGTGATGCCTCCTGCATCAAAGACCCTTCCAAAGAAGCGTAAATCCAAGGGGGCCGGAGATGACAGCGCGGCTAAGTCCGCCAAAATGGCAGAGGAGTTTCCCCACGTTGCAACGATGACAGACTGGTGAACTGGATGGCAGTAATGTAGTAGTGTTTACTAAATGACGTATTACGAACACTGTGATGCAAATATATAACCGCAGCGTTTCTTTTTGGTGTTGTGCTCAGGTTCGTGAACAAGGTGCTGCCTGTCGGTGGCCCGGACATGTACTTGACCAACGTATATGGGACCAAGGAGACTCATAACATATCACAAAAAGATGACTCACTCATAGTATATTGAATTTGTGAAGGAAAAGATGAACGACTTTGCAGTGTGGATTGACAACTTTGCTCCTTCCAACCATGCGCTGGGAGCTCACTTTGAATGTTGCCGACCTGGTGATTTTGCCGTTGCCGCTACGTCCTGCGCTTTTCAGGTTGAGCTACGCGACCGAGTTCAAGGGCTCTTTGGTGCATTTGAGACCTTTCACGCTTGCTTGGCGAGCAGATACTGGCTGCAGTGGCTATCTGGAACCCGACCAAGCGCTGATGATATTAGAAATCATTATGACGAAGGGTTTCTTGCAGCTTTTCATCTTGTTGCAACGTTCCATTTCCGAATGTGTCCATGTAGTCTCTGAGAGTATCCCTTTGGGTTGGATGTTTGTGAGATTTTGTGAGGTTCCTGACGAACCCAAATTTGACGGGCATTGACAAGATCTCAGCGACAGCCATTCCGGACGCGTTCTTGGATTCCAAGTACCCAAAGCTGACGTCCTTAGACGGTGTTTAGGATGCGCTTGGCATCTCAATTGATGTGTATCGCTGGAAACGTCTTCCAATTGTGACAGCCTGGTTTGAGTCAACCTGGTTTTGAGGCGACATGATTCCACCATTCAGTGTCGGATACACAAAAGGGTGGAAGAGATGCACGATGCTTCTAATATGCCTTCAAGGTATTCGAGAGCTAGACCTGGCAGATCAGGTCTCTCATGCCATCAAGGCAGAGTCAACATGTTGCACTTCTGACATGCCATGATACCAATGATATCATTGGCAGGGCCTTCAAGTCCTGTAGCTTTTTCTGCTAGGCAAGTATGGGGACAATTTATGCCACATTCTGTGACTTCAAAGACGTTCGGGCGTTGGTCCACGCCAACAGAGGCATTGAACCTGATGTTAAGCTTGGCTTACACATTTAATTTCAGAGTCTCAGTGAGTGTGCAAGTCTTGCAGGCGTCTCCATGATGCAGACGCAGACAAGGGCGAAGCCAAATTGTTTTCACTTCCGCCGCCAAGTCACAATTCTTCAGAGGGCTGGAGCTGGAACAGTGGAAACCCAGTTCGAGGAGCTCACTTTAAGTATCAAATTGAATCATGTCCGGAATATTTTGGTGTGAAATATGAGACCACGTTTTCTTTATGTTTCAGGCATCCTAACATTATGTTTCTATTTCCTGCCATGGCAGGAGTGGTCACAGGCCAGCTCGATCGTTAAGGCGTTTCAAATTGGCCTGGGCGAGGCCAAAGCTGTGGCAGTGTTGATGACCAAAGTATCGAAGCCCGTGACAGATTTCCTTAGCCAGAGCGTGAAGGTTCGAGGTATGCAAAGGTACTTGTCGCACGAAATCATATCCAAAGACCTTCTGACCCCTGCGTTTTCAAGCGGAGTGAACGCTTTGGAACATTGGCGTGACCAGCTTCGAAATGATGACGAAGTTGCAACCTGTATGAGAAATTATGTGAGTGGCCAGAAAGAAGTTGTTGGTTTGGTGGTTGTTCTATGTTGTTCTTGGGTTTGTTGTTGGTTTTGGGCACCGTTCTCCCATGCTACTGCACAGTCCAGGTAATGCTGTTTGTGCACCGTTTGCAAGACGACCACGACGCTTGCCCTGCTGCGCTGCGGAAAGCGTGCACATTTCAGCAAGGCCTCAACAAGCTTCAATGCTGCGCTGGCTTCTTACACTTCCTGACCGCGCTTCAGAAAGTCGCTCCGCCCAGTGACTTCGCTGACATGTCGACCAGCCTTAGAAAACAATTCAGCTCTGGATACCTCGATCCGGATATCATGCACACTTTGGAGAACACCTTTCCGCCGGAGGATCCGGGGTCGATTGGAGCTTTCAGGCCCGTCTCCAAATTGTAGGCAGTACTAGTATTTGTGACCAGTGTCTTTTGTTCAAGGTCCTATGTGAAGTAAATATGCATGCGTGTCCAGGAGAAACGTATTTTTCTTGATCAACTTAATGCGCTGCTGATTAATTTTCTTTGTTTTGATTGTGTGACAGGCCTTTCTTGGCACGTCTCCAGAGCGCGCAGCGCATTCAGAAGGAGGCCCAGGATGCTCAGCTTGAGAAGGACCTGAGACAGGCGGACTTGAAGGCGGTGCTGGCGAAGGTGGAGAGTGACTTCAAGGTCTTGAAGGAGCATTTGCTACCGGGTGATAACCGTGTGGCCCTGAAGAACGCGAGGGACCTCAAGTACCTCAGAGACCGCCAGAGGAACCCAAGTCATGTTTTTCTTTAAAAGTCTGTGCATTTTACGTGGATTTTTGTGTTGCTATCCCTGGCTTCTGCAAATATTTAGTGAGTATAGCGCCACTCTGCCTGGTTACCATGTTGCAGGAAAGGTGATGCCTTCGTGGATGACTGGATGGATAAGCACTGCCTTCTTGTGCAGGTAGACGATAGCTACACTGGAGCGATCGCAGGCTTTCTCAAGTTCAGGGAGCAGTACAGGGGACGACCTGGCAAAGAGTTGCTAGCCAAGTCTATTTTTTTTCGAGCGCGAGGTTTTCCCAGAACAATGTCAGGGACAGGGATTCTCCATGACAACTCAAAACCATTCATTCAGATGTGTAAGGTATGGGATCATTGGCTTCGATTGCGCCATTTGGCCAGCAAATGCTTCATTGGTGGCCAACGCGACAGGGGTTCTGCAAAGCCTTCTCGCGATGAGCTCCAGTCACGTCGCTTTTGTCCAATATCCCATTTTCCAGTCACAAACAAAGGAGTCTGCGATGATCAAGCATAGACACCTATTGGAGGCCTCTTTCTTGAAGAATGGGCTCACGCTCAAGGACAATGTGCAGGTGCTCTTCAGCAAACCAGAATCCCATACGCGGGACAAGAGGGCCATGAGCCAGCTGGCTGTAGCCAGTTTTCACGCCACCTTCACAGAACCAGACTTCGCCCAGTCATCCGCGATTCTTGAGGGCAAAATAGGGCCATGCCCTTTGGCCAGGATCAGTGACCTCCCCGGCTATGATGAAGGGTTCAAACCCGGCGCCAGCTCACGGGCCGGCCAGACGCTTGAAATTTTGATTTATATAAACGTTTTGCTATTATTGAAATTATTTAGATTCAAACGTTTTTCCTTGGGACTGGGATCTGTCTGATTGAAAAATTGGCGCGCAAGGAAGGGCGCCGGCTGCTCGAATGCTATCATCAGCGGCTTGCTCAGTGGGCTTGCGCTGGACACACCTGACCGTGTGTATTGGATTGACGTGCTGCCCAATGAGTCCCCAAGCACAATCCACAGTGTTTGTGCGTATGTTTTACTTTTTTGGGGTGGGGCGTATCTCTATGTGACAAGAAGTCTGTCATCAACATGTGTGTGGCCCTTTTGTCCTAGATGTTCAAGATGATCACACATTTCAATTGAAATATTGGCTCAAAAACCAGATGTTCTTCAACTTTCA